TCCAGGTCCTGTACTGGGTCCCCTAAAGCCTCTTTTTTTAATTTTTACATTCTGTGGGAATACAGAGAATGCTGTTATAAAATATTTTATTTTCGTATTTCCCCTTACGTTCAACTGAAAACTTTAATAACTAGCGTCAAGGAAGATCCCTCTGGTATTTTGTAGTTCGGCTTTGGGTTGAATTCAGGAAGAACATTCTGGAACTAGCTTAATTTCCTCCATGGTTTGGGAAAATGAAATCCATTTGGAAAAGCAGAATTTTGAGGGCCACCTAAGAAGGCAGTCCTGACTGAGAGCATGTGCAAAGCTCCCTTCTGCTGGACATGGGGACTGTCCGTGATAACACCTCCTGCACCCTGAGTCTTACTTCAGTGACAAAGACGCTGGGGAAACACTAGCTGAGACTGTTCAAAAACAAATCAGCCTGAGAAGAGACAGGATTCTTACCTTTCCTCAAAAGGAGCCTACTGGGGATAAGCTGGGGCCCAAAAGGGGGTGCAGAGGGTCCCAGGAGCCATGTGCAGCCCAAGGGAAGAGAACTCAGAAAGCTGTCCCCAGACAGAAACCAAAAACCATGGAAGCCATGGTCCCTTCTCAGGAAACCTCAACACTTGCATCCTGGCATCAGCTCAGATACCATGATATCAGATTTAAAAAATTTAAAACCATATCCAGGAACCCTCCCAATATCCCTTAGACTACATCTTAACTGTTAATGCAGTTGGATTGGGGGATAAAACCCTGGGCTCTAGGGACGGACTGCAGTTCAAATCACCTGGAGCAAACGAGGAAATCTCCCTAAGCCTCAGGTTTTCTCATTGGTCATAGTAGTGACTCCTAAGGATCAAGCAAGCTAACCCATGCAGACACTGGTTCTATGCCTGGCACACAGTTAGAGCTCAGAAGTGTGAGCTATTACTATTCTTCACCCACCACCTCTTATCTTTTATGCTTACAAGAAAGGTTAATGGGCATGCATAAAGTTGCCAATTTCAAATTTAATGCACAGTCCCTTATTCCTTATTTTATCACTTAGAAAAGCTCAAAATATTCCACACTGCCCTTGAGATAAGGACAATATTCTGTGTGTAACAGAGTCAGCGCAAAGGAATCCAAACCACCAGAAAGGCTACGCCACAACCCAGAGGAAGATACACACTGATTTTAGAAGGCATACACTATGCGACACGTGCAGTGTGGGTTCACACAAGCGGAGTTCAGGGTGGCAACACTGCTCAGCTGATTTCAGTGAAGATGCTGACAACTGAAAAAATTATTCCATGTAACCATCTCCAGAAAGGAAGTAAAATAGGGAAATAACCAGGGTGGTGGGGGAGCGATAGACACAACTCGTGTCATGAGCCTGAGAACCACCTGTGGCTAAAATTAGAGGCCAGGACACTTTAGGTTTGAAATTCCTTCAAATTCTCTACAACTTCTATTAAGGGACTTAGGAATAAAGTCAGAAGGAGGGCAGGAAAGGTATGAGCATGCCACAAAGCCCGCAGAGCGTCACTGAAATCTTACCTTTGGACGAGGGCTGTCTTCCTCGGAAAAAGCACATTTTAAATGTCATTTACAGACTGAACCAACGTCTCAGCCCAAGTTCAAAATGATGTTTCCACATAATAGAACATGATACAGCTATTTAAAAATACTGTTTACAAAGGGTTTGCAAGTAGCATTTTAATAGAACCCTCTTGCCTCATTAACTGAAGAAAAGAAGGGTGCAAAATTGGATAGAGTCTGACCTCAAGTACGCAAAAAAAAGAATCCAAAATGCTGACAGCGGTTGCCTCTGCATGACGCAATTAAGGATAATTTTTCCTTTGCCTTCTTCTCATCCCCCGCTACTCTGCAACTCTCTACGTGAGCACACAGCACTTTCGCTAACATGAAAAAATTATTTAAATAATGTGAGGTTTAAAATGGCACCAAATTATATTAAAAATCCATGAGGTTTGCAGAGATTTAACAAGTCGGATTTTTATTGGTGGTGGTAAAAAATAACAGCCACCGGCTCCCAGGCGCTGCTTCCTGTCTCTCATCCAGCTGGGCACATACTACGGTGCCTGGCGTGTGTCAAAATGCTGAGGACCCTTGATCACTGGGAACCTGATGAGTCAGGCTGGGGTGATCCACGCTCTCTTTCTTCTTCTCCTCCCCCAGCCTGCACTGGGATGGGTTTTGTTTTTTGCTGCTCATTAGTACCTCCACACTGTGGCTTAGAAGCCAAGCTTGTGTCTATCAATGTTCGTCTTTTCTAACAGTTCTGGTGACAAGTCTGGCAAGGGAGAAGCACGAAGCTTTTGAATAAAGGAATTTGGGGATTATCTGTGGCTTCCAAGTCAACTGCACAATCCTGGGTCTTCAGGTCTCCAGGTAATTTCAGGGGCTGCATCGAAGAATCTGTGTCCTGGACACAGGAGGGAGTCTCAGGAACTATTGGGCTGTTGTGGCTACTGGGGGTGAAGCCTGCTGATTTATCCCTCACAACCTCCTCTGGGGCAGCTGGAAGAGAGTGGTTTAATTCTCAAGAAGTTATGATGCCAATGAGGTGTTTGTTCCCTTAGTCACCTGGTCTACCTTCCTCTGGTTCTTCCCTGAGCCTCTAGCAACCCTGATGCAACCCAGGAGCATGGGGGCCCCATCTACATGCCTCCCATTTGCTCCCTGAGCCTCAAGGGGTGGAACCAGGGCTGGGGGCAGGAGCTGCAAAGTCTGTGTAACATGGTGTCACTAGTGCAGTCTCAAGTTGCTTGGGACTGAAATCCCTGCTCTGCTCCAGTATGACCCTGACCTTGGGCCAACTGCTCAGCATATCTGGGTCTTGATTTCCTCCTCTGTAAAATGGAAGTAGCAGGACTGCCTCACAGGGCTGTGGAGGGGCCGCATCAGTAGACGAGGAGTGGCTGGCATACAGGAAGTTGAATAAATGTTAGCAGCTACGAAACAAACACAAAGCCAACATGCCCTTCTTATCTGAATCCTGAAAACAAGGCCCTGGCATGGCTTCTGAGGGATGCCCCACACAGATCCCAGGGACAGCAAAATCTCACCCAGCTACCTCCCCTTGGCAGCGTGTGGCTGCAGCTCCATTCCACTCTCCGGTCCCCAACAGGACTGAAACTCGGCCAGCTGCACACAAATGGCTGGGGTGAACCCACAGGACAGCGACCAGGCTGTCCCACGGGGCACTATTTATAGCCAGTGTTCCTTCACCTCCAATTCACCATGTAACAGTTTGGTTGGCTCAGCTTGGGGGAAACAGTGTTCTTGTCAAAACACACGTCAAAAATATCCCAAATCTGAAGAGATAATTGATGGGGAGGCCCAGGAAGGATTGATGGAAACTTCTTCTGCCAGGGTAATGGGTCTCATCAGCCTGACCAGCTTGGTGTGGCTACAGACGTCACCGAGAGATGCCTGCAGCATGACTGATGAGTATTTACCTTTCCCCAGGAAACAAAGCCAGCACGACAGGAAAGATGATCAATGTATATTTTAAAGAATGTGTATACAAACAAACTCCCTCCCATATGCTACTGGGTTTCCTCCAAAGGAAACATTAAATCAAATGCCTCCCAAGAACTCGGCACTGTATCAGGCTGTAGGAACTCATGGCCCTCTTCTCAGAGAGCTTAAAATCAAGATGGGAAGGGCAGACAAACGTGAGTGAAAAGGTTAGGTATCAAAGCAAGACATCTGTAAGGAGCCAGAAGAATGAGGCAGATCAGGAGGGTTCCAGGAGACGAGGGGAGTGCACGATCCACTCCACGGGGTGGGTGCTGAGCCGAGCCAAAACACAGACACAGTACACGGGACTCAGGAGAGCAGAGGAAAACAAAGCAAGCAGTCCAGGCTAAGAGTGCAGTGCGATCCCAAGTGTGGAAACAGTACTACACAGCGCACGTTTGGAGAACAGCAAGCAAACTGATTTAGCTGGCGGGGGGGCGGGTGTTGTGTACAGAAGACAGAATTAGAGTCTGTCAGAAGAGGAAAGGGTTTTTCTGGGATTGTCTAGTACAATTTTATTTTATAAATGAGGCAATGGGGGGCTCAGAGAGGTTAAGCAATTCGCCTAGCGTCACACAGCTAGTTATCAGTTGGGAAAACAGATCTGTCACTATCCAATTAGGAATCTGAGCTGAGGGTTGACTGGTCAGCTGTGGAGAGGCCAAGGAACAACATTGGCTTAGAGGGACACATAGTGCGGTTTCCAAACCATGAATGTGGTTGGAGGCCACAGGAGTGTTCAATAAATGCTGGCTGGTGACCCTGGTGAAGTGACCCCTAGATAACCCCAACCGAGGCATCTCGTGTCTCTGATTTTATTTTCCTATCCTCCCTAGTGCCCCCCTCCCCAGTGAATAAAAATCTCAATTTGACCGAGGTATATCCATGCAGTGGGAAAAAATAGTCCTAGGAGATAAAAGTCAAGGGGAGTCTCAAAGCACTTTAGATCTCTAACCTCTCTGCGGTGCGTGTGGGTACAAAGGGCAGAAAACAAACCCCCTCTGTGGGTGGCAAGTGGGCTGGAGGGAAGGAACACCTGTGTTTTCTTCTTTTCAAGCACTATAATCTCTCATCACTTTGAAGTTGTGAGAAATCAGGTGCTTTGTACATTTCCAGCGTAAAGGACACAGAACTGAAAGGTTAAATGTCTCAGAAAGGTGAGTCAGGAATGGAGTGGGGGCCAGACCCCCATTTACCTCACCCAGCAGCACATGAGTAAGAAAAGGAACATAGCTTGGCCCATTCCCGGGGAGCAAGGTGGATGGAGACTCATTACATGTTGGGGTAGGGGCAGAGGTGAGGGGCTGTTAGGTACAGATTTCCAGAATGTCTTCCAGGCCATTTCCGGGGATCTTTAAAGAGTTCACAAAACAACTGGTAGGCGTGGTCTTGTGTGTCATTTAAGAGCATTAAGAAAAACGGAAAAAGCACAAAATGGATCACGGTTAAAATCAGACATTTGAAGAGGGCACAGAAAAACCAACCTTAAGTAACTGGCCATCTCCAGTCCCCAAGAATAAAACAGTCCTGTTCAATACCACGGTGCCATAAACGGATGTCAGGTCGGAATGGATCAAGGTGGATGATGCGATTGGTTGTACTCTTTCAGGTTGATCCCCTTCTTTCTGAACATGCACACAAACGCACAAATACAAAAAGAGATCATTTTTAACAGCGATATGTCTCATTACACTGACAAAATGTCACTCATGACCTTTCAGGAAGGCTCACATTTGTGGACCCTAATACATTTTTCTTAGACAAGGTCCCCAGGAGCAACTTTTCGTGGCTTTTCTCTGTCAAATGGCCATGCTTGCTTGCCCAACCCATGGAGAGCAATTTGTTTACGATGTATTAACATGTATTGATTGCCAGCAGCGAGCGAGCCATCCATTTAACACGCCCCAGCTGATAGAGGAAGCCGAGTCCCAGTGTATTGCCAAGGCAGCCCACCACTGAACGGGGAGGGAGTCGATCTTACACTTGGCTCTTTGCAGGATCCTGCTGCAATTCATCTGAGGTAGGCGTTGGCTTCTGTGACATGAAACACAAACACTTCCCAAGATGTGACTAGGAAGATCCTATGGGGTGCGATGACAGAGAACAGGGACCCGGGAGTGACAAGAAAAGTGTCCACAGAAGCTCACGGGCAGGGCAATGAATTCAGAGGGCAAAGAGACAGGCGTGGACGGTGGTGGGACACAGCCTCATGGCAAAAGAGGAAACAGAAGGGCTAGACCTGGAGCTGATGCTTGCAAAGAGGAAATGAAAAAGCCTAACTCCCAACCTCAAAGCATTTCAATGGTCTGGGACTTTGAGCACATGTAATCACATGCTTGCTCCTCATCATTAAACAGAGCCCCTCTTTAAACCCCGAGCAGAAAGAGTGGACCAGAATGTCTTTTTCCTTTTTGTTTAAAAGGAATAAAGTGCCTCATGCCACTTCCTGCCTTCAACTGTAGGGAACGGAGTTTGTTACACAAATCTCTGGAAGATAGGGAGCTAGAAAGAACCGTTGCCGTCTGCAGCTACTGAACACAGTGTGATAGCATACTTTATCTGCCAGAGCTGGCGTCCCAACTGGAGGAGGGTTTTCAAAGGCACATTTACGTTTCCGCCAATGGGTGAGTGGTCAACTTCAGGCAGCTTCGAAGCGACTTCCGGAACGGCCTTGTTTCGGGTGCGAGGAGGTGGGCAGCGGGAGGCTAAGACTTATTAACTTCATCATATGATTGCTGACAGTGTTTATGTCTTTCAATTTATGTCTTATTAAATATTCATTATTTTAAGAACCCACCAGGTTTCATTAACATCCAAACTAAATGGATCCATGGACTAAATTGATTTCTGAAGCCTTTAAAGTGCCGTCGATAGTTCTTTGTTGACGTTGTGATGTGAGGAAAGAGAGGCTAGCAAGCAGTCCTCCAAGGCCCTGATTACTTTTCAAGGAAAAGATGTCATAACCTAAGAGAGAGTGACTCATCTGCATAAAATATTCTATAGCAAACTTGGTTTAAGAAGATTTTTGGAAAGCCCATTAGAGAATTTTTTTTTCCTGCTAAAAGATAGTAATTTTTTTAGTCAGGGAAGATGGGGAACTGTCCTGTTCAAATTGAAGTAAAGGAAAAAAATTTCTGTGGGTCTAAGGATCGGAACAATAGAACATTGTTTAGATAAGGAAGCCTCATGACTACGAGCAGCAGAAGAAAAACCAAATGACCTTTAAGTTTAAAAAAAACAAAACCACATCACATATCTTGCTTTAAAATAAAACCAGAATTGCTCAAACGTCAGTCTGGCTGACCATGCCTATTTTTTTTATTATTATTAAATATTTGAGCATGACAGTGAGGCTAACTCAGGGAATTGGGCATAACCTCTTCCTAGGCTTCCACGATGTCCTGATATCACTAACCACTCCCTGTCATCTCACAACATGGAAAAACTAAGGGCCGTGGACAGTGGCTCATACACAAGGACCAGATGGGGCATAGACTCCCAGGCTGATACACAGTAGCTGCTTAATACCCATGCCTATTCCAGTGAGCCAAGAACAACGGTGTCATGTGGCCTTTGCTGAGGTGGAAGGAGAGATCCTATCTGCGAAAGACTGGCTCCAAATCACAGAGGCAGCTCAGAAGCCGAGAGGGGACAAGGAGAAAATTGGTTCCAAATTACCATGTCACCCCGTCTAGTGTCTTTCCCTGACTTCTGACTGTTCCTCACCAAGTGGAGTTTTCCAAATTAAGTCCTAGATCAATAGGGTAGGTAAGTAGTACAGCCATTAAATCAATGTTCTCAAACCGGAAGGACTGATGGTATAGAATAAACCGCCTGGGACTCGTTTACATTTGCGCTTGGCCCTTCCTCACTGGGTGGACTGTGCAAGCCATTTAACCCAGTCAGGAGATGGCTTTCTCAACTCCTGATTGGTCGGGTAGTTATGAGGAAGACATAATAAATGATAATGGTGATAATAATACTACCAGCTAATACGTATCACTGTGTACTCTGTGGAATGTATTCTATCGTTTACCTAACAGAGGGCAGATAGGATAGCGAGCCAGACTGCCCGGCTTTGAAGCCTGGTTCTGTCATTTCTAGCTAAGTAATTCTGTACACATTAGAAAACCTCTCCGTCACTCACTTTTCCCCTCTATACAATGGAAATGACGACAACAGCATTTCTTCTGTATGTCTGTTACAGGGATTGAATGAGTACTCCAACCCCTCAGTACAGCTTGGAGGAGTAACCCCTACCCTGTGCTTGCTATCATTATTTAAAAACACAAATGGTTGTTATTCTCAGTTATTCTCACTGTGTTTGCAAAGAGAACCCTAATTTTGTTCAGGTAGAGATAAACATAGTGAAAACCAGGACCGGCCCACACCAAACAGTAACTTCATTACCTGTTGTCACATACAGTTCTTGCCTTCCTTATCCCAGAGAGCTAAGGGTAACCGTGTGTTCCAGTTCCAGCCAGTTCTGGCTGACCATGCCTATTTTTTTTTTTATTATTAAATATTTGAGCATTAGAGGTATGATGTCCACACAGGGATTTCTGGAGATAAGTTTTCTCCTTGTTGAAAGGAAGCTCTTGAAGGAAAGCCCGTTTTCCCTGTTCTCTCGTGTCCCCTTTTGGACTACAGCTGTGGGAAGCCATCATGGACAGACCGGTAGCAGCCATTTTGCTTTCATGAAATCAAGATGGAGGATGAAAACCAACATGCAAAGATGGTGCAGGGGAAAGAGAAAAGAGACCCTGGGTTCTTGAGGGCATCACTCAATGGCAGGCCTCCCACCTTTAAAATTTGTTTATTACGTTATCAATAGATGTCATGCTTTATGCCACCGCTGACGGGATTTTCTGTTACTTGAAACCAAAAGTGAGTCACTGTTTAAGAAATGAGAATCATGACTTGTTACACCAGACAGGCTACAGGACCTGAGCCATGGTCAAGATTTTGTAGCCAATTACGAGTGAGCCTGGAAGAAAATAGGAAAGAGAAGGCCTGGACCTCACGAAAACTCTAGGGGCTGCTGTGGCTGAATGGAAATGGATTCTTTTGTGCTGGAAACACACGGAAATGGACAGGTCCCTGTGAGTGGAAAAAGGAGCTTTCTGAATGGATCTCTTATGCTCATTTCAGCAAATGAAAACAAAAGAAAGACAAGCTCCCAAGAAACCTCCCCACAAAAGTGAAGTTAATACCTAGGGAGCCAAGCAGAAAAAGGGGAGAAATAGTGCAGTCAGCCCCCTGTGTCCAGAAATTATTCTTACTCTTTATTTTTTCCGGCCTATTTTCTATCTTGCCCTTCTCTCCCCTTAGGGCATAATCGTTAATGTTGCTCTCAGCCTATTCTGTCTAGTTTATTATGTGTAATTTATTTCTGAATCCCAGCCTCTGCTTGTTCGTCTGTGTGTAACAAGGTTAATGCCTTGTAATGATGCTTTTGCCAGTTCTGCCTTTCATGACAAAATCCAATCTTGATTTAGCTCTAAACCTTGTCTCCCCTTTGGGCTTCCTTGGTTCCCTCAGAGTTGTCATTCTGCTTCTCCTTCCTGCCGTGTCTCACCATAACGGCCGCCTACACTTTTGCCTGCTTGAAGAAGAAACTTTTCTCAGTTGGAGGAAAAAGCACTCTTGTCTCCAAAGATGTTTAGGCTGAAAGAGCGAGAACCTTGGGCCGGAGGCAGCAAAGGGGAGTGTGCCCATGGGCACGCGTGGATGCATACGAGTGTGTGTGTGTGTGTGTGAGTGTGGAAAGTGGGCTTGTCCTGAGGGGAACAGTTTGACCTGGCGGTTGCTTCACACAACTTTTCATTGACAACAAATCCTCCCCTGTGGAGCCGCACATTGGCCTGTGCACGCTTCCAAGGGTACTCTAGGAGGCTGAGGCAGGAGGATTCCAGGTTTCAGCTCCACCTGGGTGGTTTTGCAACTTAATGAGACCCTGTTTCAAAATAAAAATATAAAGGGCTGGGGATGTAGCTCAGTGTGAAGACCACAGTCACGTACTCTGCCAGTGAGCAGCGCTGCAACCCCGCTCAAGCGTGTGATGGGTGACAGATTCCAGGAGGCTCACGCCGGGTGCCACAGCCATCTGCAGCTTTCATTAAAACACCCAGAGGAAATGTGCACAAAAGCAGGACCTCCGAGTGTCACGGAGCCAGTGAGAGTCAAGGCCTTTACTCACACAGTGCCGGAAGGACTCCTTACGTTGGGATGCTGGGTTTTGTTTCTTCTGTTGTTGCTGCTGTTGCTGTTTTTGTGGTACTGGGGATGGCACCTAGGGTCTTCACACTGAGCTACGCCCTCAGCCCTCTAAATTGTTTCTCGCTAAGTTGCAAAAATGTCCAGGTGGAGCTCAAACTTGGACTCCTCCTGCCTCAGCCTCCTAGAGTGCTAGAATTACAGACATGTGCTACTGTACCTGGCTATATATGTTGGGTTCTCCTTACAAGGCAAGGGCAAATACCAACTGGGTGTTTACTAACGTATTACCAATTGATAAAAGCCTGTTTGGGGCAATTAATTTTGCATTCTATCCCATGGGAGGCACTTGTTTTGAAGCAGTTTCTCCACTGCTGGCTGTTCATTACTCACTCAGGGCTGCTTACAG